TGTTTGCTGCTCAAGCTATTAAAGAGGAGAAGAAAACTAATTATCTACTTGTTAGGTTTTGTTCACCTTCAGACCCTGCTGGCTGCCCATGTCTGGGTGGTGTGGGATGGAGGGAACAGGGACATGTGGGCATAACACCTGAGCTGGCTTGTCCATGACTTGCAGTCTCACTGGAGAGATGGGGACATGGATAACCTGAGTTTAGCTTTTGGGACAGGAATTAGTTGCATTCATAAGGACTGTCTTTTCTTGGAATGATATTAAAAAGGGGAAGAGCAGTGAGAAGGTGTTCCCATAGTTTATGTCTTGGATTAATCCAGAAAGGGCCCAAAAAAAATAAGAGGAAAATATTGAGTGGCACAAGGATCTGATGTCCCTGGGGATGGATCAGGCAGGATGATGATGCCACCAGGAAGAATCCTAAAATGGGCACGTGGTTTTGCAAATGAATACTTTGCCCCCTGAGCTGCCATTGCCTTCCTAAATATGGGCTGGATTCCTCTTTTTTGTGTGTGTTTTAATCACGTCACTTTCAGATGAAGAGTGTGGCCCTGTGAGATGATTTTTGCATGTTTATAAGGTAAAAGTATTTCTTAATGGGGTAAATAGAATTAAAATGAAACAAACCCCACTTTTTTATTGAGAGCACAGCAGAAAAATATCATGTGATTAACTCCAGCCCTCATGATTAGCTAAACATAACTTAAAAAAGCTTGACATTAAAGAGCTTTTTCCTTTTATCTGCTGACCCATAGCTCACTGTTAGGTAGAAACATCAGCTGGATATGTGAAAGCTTCTGCAGTTTGGAAGTGAACCTAAATGATTTGAGTTTATTGTTGTTCTAAGTGTCAAACTGCTAAGGAGAACACGTGCTAATTACTGAGTGTTTTTTACTCGGGTGAATGGAAAGCAAATGTGTGAGGCAGCATCATCTGCTGCCTTGTATGACAGTGTCACTGTAACTTGTTTTATTCATTCATTTCCTGCTGATAAATGATACCGACGTGGGCAGGGTGGGTGGGGAAGGGAAGACAGGTAGCCCTGGCTCTGCAGAAGGTCAAGGTTAATGCTACCTTGGGCGTTATAATGACAGATGGGAGGCAGAAGCTTTAATGTACTTGTGATTAGCATGTGGTTTCCTTGGCTGAGCCTCCGAAGGATTTAAGAAGCTCGGGTGCACTCCTCATAGCCTACTCATTTTAAAGCAAATAAATAAAAAAGTGTGTATGGTCATGTTGTTGAGCCTTTCAGCTGTTTCTCTTGAGTATCTCCACTTTTGAGTCAAGTACTGTCAGCTGCTTTGTTCTGGAGATGCACCAGGATAATCCATCACTGGGGACTCGCGGGCGGGTGATGTACGAGCACGACATATCGACCTGGGCGCCTTTGATGTGTAACTCATCAAGATAATGTTGGCAAGCATTGTACAAAAGCAGCGTGTTTAAAAAGTATTAAGATGAATTGATTCCTTGCTTAAGAAGTGTGAAAGGAAGAATAATAGCAGATTAGCTGCGGGATCCTGTGGTTCTCCTGGAGCCGTGCAGCGGCGCAGAGGGAAGGATGGAATTTCATCTTTCCTCCCACTTCTGACAGCAAAGTGTCTGGCCCTGCTTTTCCCATCCTCAGGCAACAAAAGTTGCATTGAGCCTTACTCTGTGATAGCATATTTTATTGCTTTCTAAAGTAGTTGGGCCAGTCCCAAAATGTTGAAGTTTTTATGGTTGTTTTTTGTTTGTTCAGGTTTTTTTTTCACTTTATTATGTTAACTTGTTCTCCTACAAGTAGCCCTGATTTTTATCTCCTGGAGACATGCTGGCAGCATTTAAAAATCATTTTAGAAGTGATGTTGTGACTGAAACACCATGAATTTTTAGGTACTTCCTTCAGCATCTTAAAATACACAAAGGTAAGAGATGTCCTGGCAGCCCCGAGGCACCTTCTGGTCTGTAAAGGATTATTTCTCTCCTGACTTCTTCTAGTGCTCTTCATGGTTCATTTCAGGGACTCTGCAGTCTGCCATGACATGGGTGATGTGATGAACTTATTTGGAGTAACCTGCATGTGTGGATGTTATTTTAGCCCAAATGTCCTCAAAGTTTTAGGCTGAAAATATTTGCCTAATATACCTGTTACTGAAATAGCAGAATACTTTATAATATTTAATACATCAAAGCCTCTTTTAACAATTCTTTATGGCTTCTAGAATATGCACAAATTCTTTCTTTCTCCTTTTTTTATTTTTTCAAGGAAAAAGTTCTCATGGGGGGCCAAGGGACTGCAGGGCTCTGTTATTAATATAGTGAGAGTCAAGACTGTGCTGGGTCTTGTGAGTGAGGTACTTGTCCCACTTTCATCAAGAAAAGTGTGATGGTCTGATAAACTCTGCTCACCAGTGCAGTCTTGACAATGATCTTGCACTGCAGACTGCTTAATAATTTTCATTATTTTAAATTAAAGTTGAAGAAGTGCAGACTCCTGCTCAAATTAAGGTTGGTTGTGTTGCCGGAATGTGGTAATTACTTTAATTGATCACAAGATAGTTTCCTTGATCACCAATTAAACCAAATTACCGATCAAGTTTCAAGACGTGAAGAAATGTCCAAACTTATTTTATGTAATAGTGTTTTCATATCTAATCAAATCTAAACATCTTTTCCTTCTAGAGCCAATTGTATTTTCCCAAAGAAAGGTTATGGCTCTACAAATATAAAGGCGATTCATAAACAATAGCGTTCAATTCAGTTAATTAGCAAAGGAAGTATTTAGGACCTTAATGGAGATTGCGCTGGTGAAATTGCTCAGGAGAACCAGAGCTCATTTTCTTAGTGGGAGATACTTTTTGTGTATGATTAAAATAAATGAAAATGCAAGAAGTAGGGTCATGTGGGGTGAGAGGGAATGTCTCTGTGCCGAGCAGGGCATGCGGAAGGGTGGGCATGGCTGGGGGGGTGTGTGCTCTGCCCTTCCCTGTGACACCAGATTGCCCTGGCTGGGACAGTTGTGGTCAGCTGGAGCAACCAGCTGCAGGACCTGTCCTGGGGTGGTTCCTCTGTGCCAGGATTCATTCCTCTTGTGGCTCGGGCAGCAGCAAGTTGAGCCTTCTCTGGAAGATGAACAATGTTAAGACCAATGACTGTCTTTTCCAGTTGGAGGATTTTTACTGTCCACCAATGGAGAGGACTTGGTGGTCCCCTGATCAGAGAGTGTTTCGTGGTCCACTGATGGGGAGGTTTTGGTGCTCACAAAGCATAAAGGAAGGTCTGCAGAGCAGAATAATTTAGCAGACTCATTTGCTTGTGTGGTTGCCTCTGTCTGCCTTCCACTGGAGCAGTGATTATTGTCACACAATGGATGGTGGCTGTGCAGTGTCACCTGCCTGTATGCAAGGGTGGGTGAGTTCCTGGGATGGACAGACAGACACTTGTAGAGCACACATGAACCTGGTGGGGTTTTCATACATTTAATATATTTTTTTCCCTTGGCTCTTGTTTGCACAAAGGCCACCTGCTTGCAGATGTAATTGCTGTTTGAAACTTTTGGGGGCATTTCTGGATATAGATTGGAAATAGTGTTGCTGTTTAGGCCATGGACACTAAAAACATTTTAATTTCGGGGCTATTAATGCAGAAGTGCAGCAAATTATTGCTAACCTTGAATGCACAACTTTCAGCTTTCTGCTTCAAGGCTGCTGAAACATTTGCAAATTTTTAAAAGTAATTATTCACTCGAAGTAAAACTAAACCAAGCGAGAGCTTCAAGGGAGGTTAGATTTTCCCAAATTTTGGAATGCTCTCGGGTCAAAGAAAAAAGTTTTTTAATTGCTGACAGTTTGGTGATTTCCAACTGACAAACCTTATTGGAATGATTTTCTCTGATTATAACGTTTGCATTCATTTGGCTGGCGAAGCGACTAACAAAGTCATACTTCATCCAGGCACTGATGCTTTTTTTTGGCCTTTTTTTGCTTTTTTTTTTTTTTTTTAAACTTAAAGGTTTTTGTAATTTGTGGGAGGAAAAAAGACTGAAACTATTATCAACCATTATATGTTATTCATTGACCACATGTTTGTTTGAAAGGGCGATCGCTGGGTGGAATGCAGGCTAGATACATTGTCTTCCATAAATTAGCACTGAAAAGCTACCTAAATCAGATGGGATTTTGTTGAGCTGGTATTATAATATGAACCAGACTATGATGTGGATGTTACTTTTGCTTTGCATGTTAATTCAGGTCCTGAACCCCCATAGATGGAGCTTGGTATGAACAAAGCCTTCTGACTGAGAGGCGTCCTGCTCACGCATTGAGGCCCTTTGGGCCCTGCTGTGTAATTGCATTCTTGATTTACATGGACATTCTAATTTTCTTTATAATGCAGTGATTTGCTCCTAAGTATTTTGGCAAGGGTCTGCTATTATTTTCTTCTTGAGCCTGTGATAAAACCTGCGTCCTGGGGGAGCAAACTGTGCAGAATATAGGGGCAGAGGATTGTCAAACCTATTTTAACTCATTTTAAGGGAAAATATTTTCTCATAAAGCAGAAAGGCAAACTCACCTGCTGCCTTTCTGCCCACAGGAAAATAAATAGCAAAATAGTTAGGAGAAAGGATGTGTTTCTGGGAGTGGTGTCTGTCTAGTACAGGAGTACTGTGGCATGATCCTTAATAAGAAGAGATGCAATAAAGGGATGAGGAGGTTGGGATGGGTGTTTAAAATCACTGTTGGTAAAATCCTGGCTCTCGTGCAGTGGCTTTGAATCCTGGAGTTAGTAGCATTGAGCCAAGTGATGTATTGGGGTCTGAAGGGGGTGACTTCAGCAGCCATAGGAGATGCTTGGGTGGCCGGAGAAGGTGACATGCTCCTCTAACACACAGAAACCTGAGCTGCAGCAATCTGGAGCATCTCTAGGTGTTTTTAAGATTTTGGAGTGAGTCTTGCAGGTCTGCTGCTAGATTCTGACAGGTGGAGGAGTATTTTTCTCTTGGTTCTTTCTCTCCTTAGGCTTTTGGATTTATGACACGTGTTGCTCTGCAAGCAGAGAAGATGAATCACCACCCGGAATGGTTCAATGTCTACAACAAGGTAAGGTGTTCACCAGCTCTGGTCACAGGCATGGCAGGTTAAGGAGAAAAGCCAGTGGCCTATTGTCTCTGTCTTTTGTAATTTATATACAGGGAGGAGGTAGGGGAATGGGAAGGGGTTGTGTCTTTATAGAGAGATTTGAGATTTTGAAGACATGTTGAGACATCTGTAGTGGTGATATGGCCCCAGGGATCAGGCTTTTTGCAATTGTTTGTTGCCAGCTGCATAATTTGGACCTGCCACGTCACCTCTCTGGCTGAGGTCTAAATGATAGAAGAGAAGCCTTTAAACTCTTATTTGGCCAACCTAAACAAACAACTGGTTGGAAACTACTGAACACTCACCAGCTCTCCTTCCTGTGCAACCACTTGGGAGCCCAGCAGTGTAGGGTGAGAGACCATCCATGAGTAGGTACCTAAAGGGGAGTCTGGCAGTCAGTTTTGATTTTTAAAAAATTGTAGGGTCCTGTGTAAGTATAGCAGCCTATAGGATTGGTTTATGATATTCCCAAAGTGATGCTGGTCTCATATTTACAAGGGCTACAAGGTGTAGTGCAACCCCCACGTGCAAGGGGCTGTGTGAAGGGGAGAATCATCGTTCTGCCTTTATTTTTGTTTCCTAATACTTGTCATTGCATTGTGTCAAGTTGTTTGGTTTAGCATTTGGTGAATATATGACAATCCTGCTAAAAATATACTTAAAGGACATGTGGAACCACCACCCCCAGACCAGGACATCTCTCCCCTGACAGGCATCTCAGCACAGGCTCCTCCTCACCAGCCTTTTGGGTCACCCTGTTTAATGGACATTAAATAAACAGCAGGCAAACTCTTGAGCACCTACTTGTCATTATTTTCTTGTCTTTCCAAAATACTCAGAATTTATCTGGTTTTTGCTCTTCTCTCTTCCCCAAATCTCGGTCAAAGGCGAGACAAAGCAACACCCAGCTCGTCATCTGGCTCAGTCTAAACAAACCCGCGCAGGCAGCTGCGTCATAGCAAAATGCACCAGGCTGTTTGTTTTTCTTTTTGAAATTAATCTGCAAGAAGCTCAACGATTTTTTTTTTCACCTTCAGGGTGCTGGTTTGTAACAAAAAGCGTGAACCCCTGGCTTGGCAGGTTGGTCACTGGCTCAGGTTCTTCGTGAAACCGATCTGTGGAATTTAAATGTAAAGAGTGAGTTATTTAAGGAGACACCTCTTCTTGGATGAATCCCAAGAATGCCAAGCCTGGTTTGTGCTGTGCAGGGGCTCACTTTGGCTGGACTTGAGGCTCGGTTGAGCCTCCTCACCTCCAGTGGCTCCTGGTTTATGTGAGCAGTGAGCAACCCACTTGCTGCTTGCAGGGAGCACCCAGTAAAACCCGGTCTCTGCAGAGACGCGGCGCTCCCGGTGAGCTGCTGCTCAGCCCGCGTGGCACAGGTCACAACAGCTTTGTCACCCCTTTCTTTTCCTTCCTGACAGGTTCAGATAACTCTGACTTCCCACGACTGCGGTGGACTGACCAAGAGAGATGTGAAGCTGGCTCAGTTTATCAACAAAGCTGCTGCCTCAGTGTAGCCAGGATGTAAAATGCTTTAATACACTGTCTGCCAGTATTTTGCATTTCATTTAAGTGCAAAATCTCGTTTCTTGTAACTGACTTCACAAAATCCCTGAGACAAGATATTTTGGAGAAAGAGTGGCTTAGCTTGCTATGCTTTTTACCTGAGACCCTCTGATGCCTGTGCTTTTCCTTTGCTATTGCTGGCTCTGCCTGGGGATGTAGTAGATAAACCAGCAACAAATAAGTTTGGTATTCTGGAGACTGAACAGAGCTGGAATGAAAGCAGGAGCCCCCCCACTGATGTTCCCCACGCCCACAGGAGCCAAGGCTGGTGGCAGCTGCCAGCTGAGCCTGCCCTCTGTCCAGCTGCTTCCCTCCTCTGGATCTGTACATCTCTGCTCTTCAAACAACGTAAAAGCAGCCAGTCTGGGTCATCCCCCTCTGCCTTGGCACCTCCATCTCTGCCAGTGACAAGCACAGGGAGACTGGTCAGAGCTGTGCAGCAGCTGTTGATGTTTCCTTGAAGCTGCAGCTCAAGCAGCAGTTACAGCTTTACATGTTGATGTTTATTTGGTGCTTGTCTGATGATGGATCTTTGAACCCACCTGCCCTCTTGGCACCCACAACCTGGCAGCTACATCCAGCAGAAGTCCTGAGAACCCTTCCCCACCTGAGATGTGGGGCAGGATTCTGCAGTTGCTAAAAGCTTTACCTCTGGTCCAGCAAAAAAAAAAAATCCCAGTGAGGTCCCAGCATTCACATCATTGAAGGAAGCCTGTGCTGAAGTGCTCGGCCAGGCAGGCTCAGTGCTCAGCACCTTGCAGGATGGAGCCATTATTTGTGTTGTAACACTCCTGTACCTGCTGGGTCAGGGTGGGGGGGCTTGGCTGGGTGCCTGGAGTCTGGCTGGAGCTGAAGGAAGCAGCATTAGCAGGATTCTTGCTAAGCTGGGCTCAGCTGAAGCTGTGCTCACCCTCTTCCTTGTTTGTTTGGGGTTTTTTTGTAGCTACAATTACTCATCACAGATGTTATTCCAAGAGCCGCAGATCCCACTGACAGGGTTGAAAATAATTTCTTCCATAGTTTCAAAGTCTTTGTTTTTATCCTATGATCCTCACTGAGACAGATTTCCACTGCTGGCAGGGAGGTTCCAGCCTGCTCGGGGCTGACAGGAAGGCATGATCCTGCTGCTGAGTGTCCCCAGCATGCAGCATCATGCCCTGCCAGCAGCTCTGGCTGCCAAGCTCCTGGGAGGCTGAGAGCTCCAGGATGGGGAGGGTGAGAGCTCCAGGATGGGGAGGCTGAGAGCTCCAGGATGAGGAGGCTGAGAGCTCCAGGATGGGGAGGGTGAGAGCTCCAGGATGGGGAGGCTGAGAGCTCCAGGATGAGGAGGCTGAGAGCTCCAGGATGGGGAGGGTGAGAGCTCCAGGATGGGGAGGCTGAGAGCTCCAGGATGAGGAGGCTGAGAGCTCCAGGATGGGGAGGGTGAGAGCTCCAGGATGGGGAGGCTGAGAGCTCCAGGATGAGGAGGCTGAGAGCTCCAGGATGGGGAGGGTGAGAGCTCCAGGATGGGGAGGCTGACAGCTCCAGGATGCCTGAGCTGATTGCTCGTGTGGTCCCAGCAGCACAGCTCCCAGCTCCTCACCCAGGAGGTGCACAGTGCCAAAATCTGCATCAGGTGGATCTGCGGGGTGTGTGGTCTGGCAGGGGCTTGGGGTGCAAAATACCAGTAGCTGCCCTGCAAGGAGTGGCCTCGATAAAATAAGAAAGGCATTTTTGGTTAATCCTCAGCAAGTGCACTGTCAGGTGCTAATTGGTTGCAGGAAGCAAGATGTTGGGGTTTATTGTCAGTTACCCTGCTTGGGGCATTGAGTGAATACCTAAAAAGACCCAAATTGGGACTACGTGCCCAAATGTTCTTTGCTTGCAAGTGCCTTTCCCCGGGGAAGCTGCAGATTTCCCTGATATGGTTTGGAAATCATCAGTGTTGTGAGGAATGAATACAACTAAACCAAACAACCAGGCTGTGAAGTCTCCTGTTACTGGTGGGGAAGTGGAACAAGCTTCATGCAAAGTTTTGACAACATCCCTAATGAACTGTGAAAACTCTGTTGTTAGAAATTGATACATAATGTGTGTGCTTTGAATAAAACCAATAAAATCAAATTCCTCCTTTGTAATTTGTTTCTTTATTATTATACATATGTGACAAAGCTGTTTAGCTTAAAGATAAATTTAAGATAAATAGCATTTAGTTACTGGGAGGTCTTTGGTTTAGAATATTGATATTTATTTACATACTCTGAAGAAAAAAAATCCCCACCAACTACTTGAGCTCTGCGAGCTGCACTGTCCAGCTATGGCACAGAGCTGTGCAGCCATCATTCCCAGCCTTCTTATAGGCCCCTTTCAGGTACTGGAAGATCACTGTAAGGTTCCCCTGGAGTCTTCTCTTCTTCAGGCTGAACACCTCCAACTCCCTCAGCCTGTCTTCGTAAGGTCAGTGCTTATTTAGCCACAATTTCTTGTTAACTTATGGGGCATCCCACAGACTTGTGAGTGTTACCGTGTATTATTATTATTAATAACATGATCATTGTTAATAAAATATTGAATAAATGGCTTCCACGTGCTTATTTAGCCACAATTTCTTGTTAACTTCTGGGGCATCCCACAGACCTGTGAGTGCCTTTTGTGAGTGTTACCATGTATTATTATTAATAATAACATGACCATTGTTATTAAAATATTGAATACATGGCTTCCACTTTCTTTTCCAGTGAGTGCTGATGCTGGAGGCCATGTCACAAGTGAGAGCCTAGCTGAGCTGATGCCATGAGGAGTTATGCCATCATGACATTCACACCATGGATTCCCTTACAGCTCCCAGGTGATGCATCCCCCACTCCTGCTCTCCACAGGGCCAGGTAGGGGATCCCCGTGGTACCAAGGAGCCCTGACCCTTCTTCACAGAGCTAACAAAATCCATGGCAGCCAGCTCATACCCGCTCCCCAGCTCTTCACCTGCCCAGGTGCTGCTGGTGTGGCGTGTGCTGGATGCTGAGGGGATGCACGGTCTCCCTGACCGAGCATGAAGGAATTTATACAGCCAGGATTTCATGACAGGTGCTGGATTTAGGCTGGGAAACCCAGCCCAGGATGCCTTCTGCTGTGAAAAGCAGCATCAGCTTGGCTGTGAACAGCAGCAGAGTGCAGGCTCTGGGGCTTGTGCAGGGGATGGCCCCACTGGAGCTGTGCTGTTCTGTGACATTAGTGCTCGAGCAGATGCCCAAAATTCCATTTCCTTGGCTGTGTTGGCTTCTCCTCAGGGTGAGTTTGGTGCCTGCAGGTTTGCACTCCAATGAGGGCTGGTGCTGCTCCCACAATCTAACCATGGTTCCCTCTCACTGCAAGGGTTGGCTCATGGCTGGCAGCTGCCCGGTCAAATATTCCCCTGGAGTATTTGTGGGGTTTTTTTGCTTTAAGGCTGATTGTGGGTTGAAATATTTGGATAATCCATTGTGAAACAGCCTTCTCCTTGCAGGTAGCTTCCCCATGCTGAGATTGATTTAACTCAGTGTGTTCCCTCCGCCAGCTCAGTCCATGGTGTGTGGGAAGTGCTGTCCCTGGGAGCCTGTCCCGTGCTGCTCCGTGGCCACAGGAAATTAAAAAGCAAAACCTGGAGGCTGAGAGAGCAGAGCAGGAGAGATGCCTGCAGCACACGGGGTGGCTGGGGTTGCTGCTGGGGTCGTGCGAGGCTGGAGATCACACCTTCACAGGACTGTCTGTGGAGCAGGACCAGCCATTAATCCTTTTCTTTCCCCACAGTGGGAGCTCAGGTCCAATAAACTGCAACAATCACATTGCAAGGGACAGTGTCGGTGTGGGATGTGCTCTGGGGATGGGGTTCCACAGGCAGCTCTGCAGGAATGTGTTGGAAAACAAATGTCTCTGTCTTGGTTTGTGGGTTCTGGCTCTGTCCCACCATGCTGGGATTCCTTCTGCCCTTCCTCTTCCTCCCAGAGTGGTGGCCGAGGCCAGTGCTGGAGTGTCTGAAGAAGAGCAGCCCACAAGGAGGACGTGTCCTCACCCAGCTGCTTCTCCGGGCTGGAAGGACAGATTGATGGAGTTGTTTTTCAGATGTTTCCCCATTGTCCGTGACACATCCCTGGCTCCAGGGTGGGGCTGGAGGGGTCACAGGATCCCCTGGGCTGTGTCCCGGCTGCTGTGCCGGTGGCCACCGGCTCTGGATCGGCCCCACCTGGAGAGTCAGCAGAGTGAAACCAAGGGTGGATCCTGTTGGACTGGGGTTTTCTCTTGGTTTATGTCCCCCAGATGGCTTGGCCTGCAGTCAGGGATGCTTGCAGCATTCCCAGTTTTCAGTGGTGATCGCAATTGCCGGGTTTGCCCCAGTCCCAGCTCCAGCACTGCTGTCGTGCTCAGCCTTGCAGCCCGCCGGGTCCTCGGCCCCACTCTGCCTTTCCCTCATCCACCAGTGCTTTTTCAACCCTTCAAAACATAATTTTGAAAGCCTCAAGCTTTCTGCAGCTTCTGCTAGGGGGAAGCATCCCCTCTGGCCTTTCCAACCTCAGGTTAATGAAGGGTTTGCCAATTAACTGAAGCTGATGAGTTCACCATGAGCTTGTGTCAGGTTTTCACATTGTTTGCTCCAAGAAACAAATATTTGTGGCTTACTCAGAGCTGCACTTCAGGATTAGCCAAACACGTGTGTGTCCTGGAACAAGTGCTTGCAGAACATCCAGACTAGCGAGCACAGAGTGCTGACTAATTGCAATAAACTGGCAATTGTTAATACTCCTTCTCCTAAAGAACCAGGGCAGAAAGCAAACATGGATGTGAGTTATCCTGCTGACATCAAAGACTCCTTTTATGCAAGTGCTGCTCATGCTGAAGATCTGTTGCAGAGCTGGACTCTTTGATGAGGAACTGACAACTCATTTGCAAATGAACTTTGGAAAGAGGCAAGGCTGCTAGTGAGCTGTGGGGATGCTGG